TATTAGACTATGAACTTATAGACATGCCTATATAATCTGTCTATATTTCTGAGATGAGGTATTATGTACAGTATTACATCATAATGTCACCATATTTGTCACAAGGACACATGGCACAGTGGATAAAGGCGTTGGTTAGATCCAGTGACAGACCCAAAGAGTGTGAGTTCAATACCCGGTTAAGGCAGTGGAGAGGGAAAATTAGCAGGAGATAACTGATAACTGACATCCATCAAACATGGCACATGTAATGTTCTGCACAAGAAGCTATCGATGCTTGCTAGGTGTCGATTAATGCCTTGCTAGGATTTTAGGATGGTTCTTGATTGTCCCTCCGGTGATGGTAGCCTCCTATTCCCTCTTGCTGCTAAGCTGCTGATTAAGATTCACCAGATGTCTGGAGGGGACAATAATCTTGTGTCTCTATGGGTTATCTGTTGCTGGGATATTACAGCACGTGGAACAGTGATCGAAATAAAGGGTTCAGTTCGAAATTCCAACCACCTGAAGAAGGCCGGAGCGTACAACGGCCGAAACGTTGTGACAAATATGGCGACAAAGATGAGGACAATAGTCCAACTAATGTAAATACTATGCCTATATAAATATAATACTACATTTAATAGAGGCCTCCTCAAACAGAGAGAAACAACATTTTAGAAATAATTATCTTTATTTGAATAAAGTGCATTGATAGTTGATGAAATTGTTTGATGGTCTTTTTTTTTCCTGCTAGTTTAATTAGACAGTTTGAAAAGTGCAAATTTCTTGCTTGATATATTTAAGTTGACTGATTATTCTGAATCTCCTAATTTCAGATTATTATAGAATATCATTTATAGTGAACTGCTTCTAAGTTAAATCTCTTATGTATAGAAATAATGAACAAAGCCTTCCAGAAACTATGTACTTACAAACAAAAAAAAAAAGAGTGCTGAAATGCATTTGTAATATCTAATCTCTCATAGAAGTGAATGTTAGACAATCTACTCACAGATGGAGATGAGACTTGAAACAACTGAAATGTGGTTCTAAATGTACTTATAAACAAAGAAGAGTGCTGAAATGCATTGGTATTATATGGCAGTTAATGTTGAAAAATCAACATTTGTTGCATTAATTTTTTTTCATCTTTATATTATAGATTTACTGATGTCCCTACATAAATATTATGCATTTATATTATTTATAAAGCACCTCTAACTTTCGAGATATTCAGAGTTGTAACAAAGATTGAAATATAACTTTCTTCTATGCTTTTGAAATCAAAAATAATTATTGTTTCAGGGGAGACATTCAATGTCTGTATTGTCAAAAAAAAAAAAAAAAAAAAAAAAAAAAACTCTGGGTTTTGTAGATTTTATTCTAAAGGCATTACTTGTTTTACTACAAATAAGATGCCACACCACAAAGAAAGCTGCAGAGAAATGCTTGACAACAGACACCATATTTATGTCAGCTTGGCCTTCAAAGTAGATTCATTAAATTTAACTCATATTGAAATAGAAAAAAATTAAAAAAAAATATTTGTGTTTTTATCCATTTTTAGGCTGTTTATTGTGCAAAATATCTGAGTAGGGATTAAGTTAATCTTACGAAAAATATGTGGAAGCACTAAGAATGCTTTAAAAGTGTGTATATATATATATATATATATATATATATATATATATATCAATAATCAGATAAAATGATGTAAGGATAATATTACAGAACAGAAAACAAAGATGGACTGGTGAAAAATGAATCATCTAATTCAATCCTTTATTCAAGATGACATTATGGTTAAGATTTTAAAAATGGGTAAGTAGTTAGAGAAAAAAAATAGATCAGGACAGTACAATTGATAAATCAAAACTAATATACAAATAGAAACCAAAAGAATGAAAAATGATCAACAAAAGGTGAGGTGCTGAAATTTTTCATTTTAATCCACTTCCTAAAATCTAACCAATCATCAAAATTAATTTTGAAATTCCTGGTCATCTGAAAACATTTTAGTGTGTGAGTGAGTGAGAAAGATGCTATGAACATTAGGAATTAAACACTGCATGGTAACTTGTCAGTTTCACACTTTTAGTAATTTTCAGATAATGTCTCTGTTGTAGCATACCTACTGACAATAATGGGTATGTCCCCATTCATATAAATACAGTAGTAAATACTGTATGTTGGTCTGCAGTTGGAGATTCATTGTGGAATCATTTTGACTCACATCTAGCAGTTGACTAGTTCTTCTATGTGCCACTAGCGAATCTTATATATGTTGTTTGTGTCCTAAGTATTATCATTCGTTACTAACCTTTGTGTGATTATTCTATTCAGTAACCTCTCCTAGGTTACATCAGTGCCACTACTCTATGCAATGTTGATTCCTGTGTCTGCACAGTTTATATATATATAAATGTTTTGATACTGAGCACTCTTTTCCTATAGATATTTTTTATGACATGTCCCTTCAGGACATGGACAATCAGGACTCTAGAGATTCCTCTCCTTTATTATTCATGAATTGCCATGTATTCTTGGGAATAACAGTTTCCCATTGGCTTCTCTACAATTTCAAATTAAGTGTTTTCCAAGCTCTTAGACTAGTTGACACCCAAGACTAGATAATATGAAACTAAATGATGTAAATCTTGATGAGAATCCAATGGAATGGTAAACATATGACAATTTGGAAAAAACTTTAAAAGAAATGTTGATATAGTCTATCATGAAAGTGAGATTCAAATAAAATCCATTTTTATAATGACACTGTTTGAGTGGCAAAACATGTCAATATAAAAGTTTTCCAAATTGGCATACACTTACCATATATAATCAGAAATTTATGCACTATTTACAATAGCAAAACCAAAATCCTTGAAAATGGTTAATAGACTAGCCAAAAGCACTCAGAATGAACAATTTCTATATACACCGAGTTCAAAACAAGAAATTTCTTGTTCACATGCAAGAAAAATACAATAAAAAAACTTAACAGAAATACATTGTCAGTCATTTTAAATACAAATTGTATTACAAAGAGATTGCTTCACAAGTATACAATTATATATATATATATATATATATATATATATATAAACAGAACCATTACTTTTTGCAATCAACTCCCTCCTCCCAGAGGATGCTTCCCTGATCACTACAACCTTAACTGCTTCAAGTTTAGGGTCAATTGTTATTTATCCTGTATACCCTTATAATCTGTACATACTTTCTCCTCTTGCATCCATACAACAACCTCATTCAGCAAGCTACCTCGAGCGGCTCTTGAGCCTTGTTTCAGGTGAACATTTAATAAAAAAAATATAAAATAAGTTTACTTGGTGCTTTCATTTTTATATTTAATTCATACATACTGAAAAAAAAGTATTGTTAAAGAAGCTTTTAAAAGTTTAATTTAAAATTTTAAGCTTAATTTATTTAATTTTTTTTTAAAAAATAAGTCAAAACGTAAGTGCAAGTTATAATATTGTCATAGCATTTTTATTTAATACCATCATAATATTGATATTTAATACAATAGTCCAGACTCCATAATTATGGTACTCAGGAAATATTCTATAAAGTATGTACTCTGTATAAATTTCCAATTATTTGCTTTTTCAGACAAAGTTGAATTCTAGGTTGCTGGATAGCTAAAGTGGAAGCAAAGGAAACAATCTGATAAAGTGTCTACTTGTTATAAATGAGGAGGAAAGAGTCAGATTCAAATGGCAAAGAGCAACTTGTCCTTTCCTTGCTATTGTTTTTTTTTTAAGAGTATTTTAATGGGAAGGGCAAATACAAAAAGGAAAAAAAGAAAAGAAATTTGAAACAGGATTTTCAAAATGTGTTTCAATCCACTTTTGTTTTTAACAGTATAATAAATCTAACTGGCAAATATCTCTAGAGAAATTTATTATTATTTTTAATACTATTAAGCATTAATAATATTCTTTAATATATCTTCTCATAAATCAGAAAGTTCTTGATAACAAATAATAGAAAATTTTAAAAAAAGAGATTGAAAAGTTAATAACCAAAGCTATCATTAAATCCTGCCATCCCATAAATTATTCCCAATGATGTCCAAAAATAAATAGGGAAAAAAGTTTTGTTAAGAGAATAATGAAAAATAAAAGACTTAATACATAGCTATGTAATCTAGAAATTTTTGAGGTTAAGGAAGGAAAGAAGAGTACAAAATAATAAGCTTTGTACAGAAAAGAATTAAGGACACAGAAAATAAAGACTAATTGCAGCAAAGAAGCTATTCAAGGAATGTTGAGGCTCAAAATTTAAATATTTGTCTAACCTTGTGGGGAAAAAAAAAACAGTTGATATTTATTTTCTTTACTTTTTCATTTGAAGAGATTAAAAATTAAATTATATAATAAACAGATATTTCCTCAAACTAGCAAATTGTCAAGCATCAATGATATATTTGCATTGTCATTATTGTGTGTTTTTACAACCTGGAATGCACCTATAATTTTTTTTATGCTTAAGCAATGCAAGACATTTACATTTTACAGATGTCATTACTGCTACCCACTTTTACAATTATAGGATTTTTCTTCTACAAGGTGAGCAACAGTTCATTAATTACATTCAAAGAAAATTTTAAAAACAAGTATCATTCAATGAACTGTTCAGACTCATTATTTATATTGCTTTTGTTATTATCATAACATTTTAGCCAATCATTTTAACAATGTACAATCTATAAAAGAAAGAGAATTCTTTTACAAAAACAAATATGGCAACCAAAAGGAATATTGGCAAATGAAAATCTGAAGAAAGATCAGGCAAATGTTGGAAAGAACAAATCAGAATAAAGACTCTTCTCAAAATTATAGACAGCATAATGTAATCATCAAGCCACTAAATGGAGACACCTTAAAATCATGCACTAATCATTTTCATTATCGATAGATTTTTCAAAGTAAAAAGAAAAGATATATTTTTTTCATATAATCTATCATGATGCAAATGAAAATCATCTTTGTACTTACTTTTTGTGCTTTACGTAATTCCTCCTGCAGACGTCCCGTTGCCAATTCTTTCACTTCTGCCACAGAAGCACTACGCCTTCGTGGATCTCTAGAAAAGCCATCAGAATTTGCATGGCGTAACTGGGGATACCGTTTGGATCGAAGTTCTGTTCCAATTTTATCACCTTCTCTGTAAGCCAAAATCAAGAGGTGACGAATAAGACTTTTGACATATAGACACTAAGAGACATGCAACACTGAACAATATTTAAGATAAAATATCATTTTTCACTGACAAAAGTACTGGCAAATTAAGAGAGCTGTGCATATTTGATGGTTCCAGTACTGATGGGAATGACTGAAAAACACTTTCCCCTCTCCAATTTATAAGCAAAACCACACAAATGCAAGCTTGGAATTCTTTCTAGCCAATAAAAAAAGTCCTGATCTGTCTTGTCTTGAAATCAGAATGATGTTTGCTTATCTGAACTTGCTCTTATGTGTCAATCCCGATTCTTAGTTTGTGAACTTTTTGCCTTATTACTGTTATCTTGCCTTGCATATATTGTTTGCTTGCTTTATATTATTTTCTGCTCTGTTCTTTTCTTTTTCTTGTTTATTGCAAACTTTTGCAGTTCTGTTGTTTGGCAGTTCTGTCACTTACTCTACATCATTTAACGTCATTTTATAAGATTTGTGATTCCAAATAATATTTTCATTTCAACTGAAAATATTTCATTTTTTTATTGAATTATGCAACAAAGGCCGAGAAGACAAAGAATAATTTTGCATCGACAACAGATATATAGTTTATATATGCAGGGTGTGCAAGTGGTGTAATGGCTTGCAGTCCCACTCAAAAAGCTTCTAAGAATTGCTACTTTGTGGAACAGACACCCACATAGATGTTTCCTTGAACACCACAATCTTAACTTCAATATATGAAATTTATTCCACCAAATGATGGAATGCCTGGATTAACCAAAAACTATATATATATATATATATATATAATGTGTGTGCTTTAACCTCACATCTACAGAATGTGTTGCTGACCAAACAAAGGTGAATAGCTTCTTTAACCAAACAAGGGAACACTAAGATTGACTCCAGGGGTCAGGTTTGTTAAGCTTAGCCCCAGTGAGTCAACATTCAAGTCTGTCTATTTCAAAGAAAGAGAAAATTTTTCATAGTGCATCATTTTCATTCTTGACTTCAGCTGGATCCAAAATTAATTGTTTTAACTCCATGCCTCAAAATATTGATCAAAACACATTTCATTGATATTGTTCATAATAAAGAAGAAAGAAAGAAAAATAACAAAAAAAAATTAAAGAAAAAAAGAATGAAATAAAATTAACATGGCTAGTTGGGTTGAGTAGGTGCAAGCCTGATTGAAGCTGGATATATATTAATAGGTAATGTATTTCTTGCTTTAATTTCATAAATAATCTTTTAAAAATCCCTAATGACTTGTATTCCCTGTTTTTCAAACATTTATATTTCAACTTATTTATTTTAAATGTCCATTTTAAATAATTTATCCTGTACAGTATAAGGTTTTTTTAGCAGGATGTATCTTTTGAGAAAATTATTAAATTTAGCCCAACCTTAAATTTGGTGAAAATAAAGTGGCAGCCTTAACTCGTTGACTGGAGGGTTGGGGTGAGGAGTGTGGCTTGGGTAGTGTTGAGGAAATATAATATCAGTCAGCAGTACTGATCATAAACATACAATAAAATTCACAGGCAGAGAGATAAATAAACACACTAACACATATATATATATATATATATATATATATATATACAAAAACACACATGAGATAGATACAAACATTTTTTTCTAAAAAAAAAAAAAAAAAAAAAAAAGCATATCTGTCACTCTTTTTTTTCTAACATGTCTAGAAAATTATTTTAAATAAATGCTTATTTTTATAGAATTATTACAATTAATATTAAAATAACAAAATTTTTTTTTTTTTTATTTCATGCACAATGATTTTTAAAATTATATATTTTAGAGTAAAGGAATCATTTTAGCATCTAAGTTATGCCAATGGTATATTTTGTTAATGATTGTAATGAGCCCAACAAACATTGATGACCTAGAGTCACCACTGATTATATATATATATAAAGACTTACAAAAGTGAACTTACACAGCATGACAAGTCATAGCACTATACCAATGCAGCAAAGAGTAAGCTTGCTTGCAAAACCTGTGGCTTAAAATGTAGGTCATTTGCTGGACTAAAGGGTGACCAGAGATGTTACCAGTGGCAAGTAAATTTCTAAATTTTAAATTTGATTATATGAATGTTCATTCTTCTCCCAATGACAGAACCAAATATACTAAAATTTGAATTGTGATCAAAGATTGCAGAGAAAAAAAAAGTCAATTCTATATTTACATATAAGCTATTGACAACTATCCAATCATTATTAGGTTAGAAAAATTTTTAAAAATAGCTTAATTGTATAGATTAGGAAAACAAAAAACAAAAAAAAAAAAACAAGATAATGATGAATAGTTGTTTTTTTACATCTGCACAATTAATTGTAAAATAATTACCAAAACAGTACTCACTCATGTGATTCAATCCCATTTGTTGTGCTGGGAATAGACTCATTAGTAACATGTCCGTTGCTATTAGAGGTCATTTTTTCATTTTCTGTGGCAATACCCATCATGGCAGAATTATTTTGGGGCAAAGTAGATTTGGGACTAGTCTGAAAAATAAAAAAGTAAGTAAATCAAAATAAATGAAAAGAATTAGAAATATTAAATAAAAATTCAACATACTGACAATGTAAAAAAGGTAAAATAATTTTCCATATCATTTATTTTATTATAAACATTTCCCCACTCTCCCAAAAAACTGAAATGCAAAACAATGTTCAAAAGTTATTTTTCTAGTAGAGGTCTAATTGATTTTACAACATATCAATATTTATTTACACTATTTACATTGTTCAGACTGTTGTCCTAATCTTTGTTGTCATATTCACAACATTTTGGCTGTTGTACGCTCCAGACTTCTTCAGGTGATTGGAATTTTGAACCGAACCCTTTATGTCATCCACCGAGATAGATTGTTCTACTTCCACGTTTCATGCCTCTTTCAGATATCTTAGTTTCAGTTATTTCCCTTTAGTAACTCAACTCTCCAAGATTTGTTCACCTCTGCCGGAGCATACAACAGCCAAAACGTTGTGAATATGACAGCAAAAATGGGAACATCTATTCAAACAATGTAAATACTGGTTAATAGTTACAATGCTTCATCTCAAAAATATAGATAGATATATCAATATTTGTTGGATCATTTAATGGTAATGTTGTTGCAACAGTGATGGTGTTATTATAAAAAACATAAAAAGTTTATAATCATTTAATTAGTTCAGGAATAGGTAAATATCAGTTGTTTATATTTATGTCTATAAGCATTTGCTTGATAGATAGCACCTTGTGAGGAGGTCTTACTCACCTTTCACAGTAAAATGTTAAACATAATTAGTAGCAAAATTGTTTGTTGAGAAGTTAAATCACTTCAAGCATTTCCAGTTTTTATTTTTGTTTTTCAAATGAATATTTTAAATACCAAGCTGAAAAATGTAGCATATATTACAAACTTCTGTATTTAATTGCTTAATATTTTTAACAAACCATAACAGCAATCACATTTTGTGTTTGTTCTATGGTAACCCTTCATTGTAAGGACTGAAAAATGAAATAAAAAAAAAAGAAAAGTATTGGGAGGAGTCAAAAAGTATTTTTGCTTTTAATCAGCTCTTTCAGTTTATGTAATGATCTATTTTAAGTTGTCTTTTGAATGATCCTCGCTCTTCTGAAGGTTTTTCAGTGTTGGTCAGATTTCCCTGTATATTGCATTTTTAAAGCAAAATAATCAACAACTGATGACTGTCCACATCTGAAAACAAGTTTTGAGCAAGTCTTTTTTTTCATTTCTTTCTACTTCCCAAATTCCATGAGCAGCTTTGAAAATCAGTTTAAAATTATCTCTCAAAATTAACAGAAACTCAGTATTTGTGTCTGTTATTATAACATAAAAACAAAATCTACATCTAAATAATACTAATATCAATTAGCAACACGGCTGAATCGTGCAATTGTCCTATTAGCAACACGGCTGAATTGTGCAATTGCCCAATTAGCAACACGGCTGAATTGTGCAATTGCCCAATTAGCAACACGGCTGAATCATGTCGACGTCCTATTAGCACTGCAGCTGAATAACGCCGACGCCCTATTAGCACTGCAGCTGAATAACTGTCATACTGGAATGTACCTATTCTATTATTAATAGACTCTCCCACACATAACTAGTAGTAGTAGTAGCGGTCACCAGTTGAGCTCAGTGGTGTTGAGTGAGTCAGTCGATGTCGGACATTGAAGTATCAACCATCACAACTAGATTGCTGCATCATTAACTCTTATTTCAAGTTCCTAACATTTTGTACGTCGAACCTAATTTAGGACGACTTAGTAAAATACAAGCCTCCACTGTGAAAACTACTGTACAACAATAACGCTGACGTTCTATTAGCAATGTGACTGAATAGTGCCATCATATTATCAATCCATTCAACTATATGCTAAACTAATCTGAAATACCTACATTTATGCATAAAAATTCTATATCTTGATAGGTCAAAAATTACCTTCCTTTTATATTTGACAGTAAATTATGGAGTAGTATTACTTTTTTTAATAAATTAATTTCAACAAGTAAAAAATAAAAACTTATCAAGCAAAAACAGCTTTTTACTGTCAATTAGTAGCTGTCCTAAACTTATGTTTTTATAGACAAAAACTTAAGCAAGTTGTCATCTGATCACACACAATCTTCTTTGAAATAAAAGATTGATTCATTTGGTGTTTTACAGCTTAACCCTTTGTATGTTACTTAAAGTCAAAACACATTATGGATCCAAAGAGTTCGTTTACAGTACACAGTGTTCCCAATTGGTGCCCCTTTCCAATAAAAGAAACATTAGCATAATTTCCAGACCATAAAATATATGGTTTACAAAGGTATTATTTGAGGGGTGACTGCTCACTGTGTCATCCAAGCCGCATAGCTATTCATTTTGAACATCATGCTGAATGCAATGTAATATTTAAACAGTTGTTTTTGTTAAATCTACTGGCAAATACAGTAATAAAAATACAAGATTTCTTAACCTCTTATGAAAATATATGCAAAAATGTTTAATATCTTATAATAGAGTTGTCTTTGTTTATGATTTTCACATAAAAGTAACTTTGACAAAAACAAATTATGTGCTTCGTGTAAAGATATTTTTTAATTGCATATTTTCAGTATGAGCGCTGGTAAAAATCAATTGCCAACTCACATCAATAATTTCAACAATAATTAATTGAAGCCAAACAATCTCATACAAGTGAAATAAACCAGGAATTTTGGTATAGTTTTATGACAATAATTTGCTTTCATTTAATCACCACAGAGAACCTTTTCTGCTTGTCACCAGCATGGCTTAAGCTAAACTCCAGGAGACCAACACCTTGCACTTTCCTTGGCTCACATTTTCCACAGATATGAAGTGGAGTGATTATTTTGAATCAATTGCCAGGAAAGTAGATTCACTGTGACATGCCAGACAATACTTCTTGGCAGAATCCCTCTTTCACGTTTATAAATCTATCATTAGTCCGTGTATTGAATACAGCTTCCATATCTGGTCTAGTGCTCCTACTGTACATCTCAAGGTTCTTGACAAAATTCAAAGCAGGGTCTGTAAAATAATCAATCCTGGCCTCGCATTTTGACTTCGGTTACTTTCACACTGATGGAATGTGGCTTCCCTCTGTCTTTTCTACAAATATTTTCTTGACAATCATTCTGATGAGCTTTCCTTCTCAATGCCTTGATTGCATAAATTTAAACATGTTACTAGATTGGCAACTAGGTCTCACGAATTTACTGTTGAACTAGCTAGATGCAACGATATTTTCTAATCTAATAGTTTCTTTTCTCAGAATTCTTGCCTGTGAAACTATTCCAAGTTCTTACTTCCCTGCCACGTACACTCTTTATTTAAATGCAATGTCAATCGCTATCTCCTGTCTTCCTGAATCCTGTTCTTTCTCCTCATTAGTCTTCTCATTTTCTATCACTCCCTGTAACCCCACGTGTCCTAGTGGCTTTATTTCCTTGCTTAGAGTGAAATAATTAAAAAAAAAATTTATTGGAAATATTTTCTGTCTGACAAACAAACAAAAAAAAAGGCATGAGGTTAAGTACTGTTCTCGCAAGCTATAGACAGTAAATTTAAATTTCTAGAACCACTCAAGAAATGTGACATTATGCCATGTCTAATAATTAATATCTTCACTTATTTTCTTTCATTATAATGTTTTGTGTTCCTTCAGTGAATCAACCGATATTGGTTCGAGTAGAATGAGAAAGCATTGAAGACTGAAATTCTAGTTGATTAGCTGGGAAAGATTTTGTCTAGTAACTTAAAAAAAATGTTCAATTCAAAGAAAAAGGTTTCATACATCCACAATCAGTTTAATATTCATAAAAACTGTGTCTCTCATGAACAACATCTCAGACTTTCTATTTGTGCTAGAAATATCAACTGTTTCCACAAGAAATTAAAAAGAGCATGGATTTTTATGATTTAACTTGCTTTCCAGTTCAAACTAGGAGCTGTGCCAACAATAATGGCAGAGACGTTCTAGTCTTTATAAGGGTCAATACTTTTCCAATCTGACCTTTTTGATCAATGGAATGAACCTTCTGGTCCACACAGATAAATCTCTCCACCAAGCAATCATTACTACAAAAGTATTGAACATTCTTGATAAACATCTTACAGTCATCAAAATGATTATTGACTTTCAGTGTATTTGGCTGTATTCTGTATTAAACCAGTCTCAGTAGATTCTATTGCAAGGAGGAGCTTTTCATAATGCAATTGTAAAAATACAGTATTTAATCAATAAAAAAAAGAAAGAAAAAATAAAGCAGTATACAAATATGTGCTTTCAACTGCAAAAGTCTAAAAGAAATAAGTAAAGCAGAATCAGTAAATATTGTTATTAGAAAACAAGACTCAATGCAATAAAATTTGTTTTGATAATGGAAACAAAAAAGATTTTAAAAAATAAATAAATAAATGAATTAATGACACTTTGAAATTTTTGACATTTTGCCATAAAAATGTAACCTGTAAATAAATATTGATTTGTTTTTGTACTTTTCATTGATTAAATGAAAATTACATTTTTATTTTTTCTGATCAATTAATTCCAGATGATTTGAAGATCAAGTATCCTAAAGACTACAGGATTTCTTAACCTCAAAACAAAACCAATGTTATCTGATTACAAACTGAAAGAGAACACTTATACTTTTGCTGAAAAAAAAAAAAAAAAAAAAAAAAGGTTTTAAATCTGTCATCTTTGAGCACCAGATGTTTCTTGAAAAGCATCTTTCCACTTTCAAGAATATGCATTTCTTTACTTATTCTTTTTTTTCTGTATCTATTCAGTATTTTCCTTATTTGTTTGTTACATAGAAGTTCAGCACGTCTTTTCTTTGTTTCTAATGAAATTTTCCTGTTTCTGAATAGATCGTTTAGCTTTTGAAAGGCATCTTTTGCCATTT